AAAAACAGGCAGCTTTTATCATGAAAGAAAAATAACAGACATTAGACAAAACATTGTACAGACTTAATGCAAAGTATTTAAACAGCTTTATTAAGCTACAATTTTAAGAAGCAGAGACTAGGTAGGGTTTATATTCCCTATTTCAGAGACAATAGCCAAACATACTGTACAGACCTTATTAGACCACAGTTTAAAAGAGAGACAAGGCAGGTTTCATCATGTAATAAAAAATAGACTGCTCCCTGATTATTTTAGACACAATAGCTAGATATATTTTCCTATTATACAGATCTGTGGCATGGTATGTAAGCAGCTTTACTAGATTACAATTTCAATTTCAGAGAGAATAGACAGAAATATTAGTTGATGCAGACTATGTAAGTAGCTTAATTTAGGAGTGAGAGACCAGGCAGTTTTCATCCTGATGCATTATATTAGGGACATTAGCCAGAAATATTTCACAGACTCATTGCACAGCATGTTATCTGCTTTACTAGGCAACAATTTAATATGGAAAGACCCAGCAGGCTTTTTATCATGAATTCAAATTATTGTTTATTAATTCAGAAACAATAGCTAGAAATATTGTACAGACTTATTGCATGCTATGTACGCAGAATTAGGTTACAATTAAATCTGCTTTACTAAGCAAGAATTTAAGATGGAGAGACTAGGTAGGTTTTATCATGAAATGAAAATTAGAGTGTATTATTTTAGAGACAATAGCCAGAAAAATTGTACAGACACACTACACAGTATGTAGGCAGCATTACTTGGCCACAATTTAAGAGGAAAAGATTAGGCAGGTTTTATTGTGAAATAAAAAATATATGTCATATTTTAGAGACAAGAACTACAAATATTCTACAAATTTGCTGCCTATTGTGTAAGCAGATTTATTACACAACAGTTTCAGAGGGAGAGACCAGTCAGGTTTTATACTTAAATAAAAAGTGTATTATATCTAAGACAATAGTCAGAAATATTGTAAATGCCCAGACTTGCTGGATTACGTGACTGTGGTCATGTGTTCCCTGACCTCATAGTCCAACAACACAGAGGCATTACCTTTCACATGCTTCTGCAGGGCAAGGATGACCTTCTGTTAAAAAAATGGCAGTTGGGTACCTGTTACTGTGGGGTTCAAAACTTTGCTGAGCTCTGCTCAGCATGGCCCCATGCTCACCCTCTTGCTGCTTTATGTTTTGTACAGTAAGCCTATTAGGCCCCTTGTTAGACTTTCTTCCCAACTTCTTGAGGCCACAGATGTTGCATCAGATCAGGGGCGGACTGAAAACTCATGGAGCCCCCGGGCAATAGGAGACCATGGGGCCCCCTGCGTCCCTGCCCACTCAAGCCGCACCCACACAAAGCCCCACCTACATATTACACTGCCCGCAATACATGCGTTTGTCACAGAATTTCTCTATAGTATGTTCAAATTAAATGTTTATTACACAAAATAAAGAAAAAAAAAACTTACATTAAAGAGATCGTAACAATGGTACATTTCAAAATGAAGGTTGTTGGGAAAGGGTTAATGTGGCCCCTAGGATGATCTGGGAGACCCCGTCAGAATTCTGGGAGCACACCACGAAAGACCACAGAGACAGGTTGGTTCTGGTATGCTCGTTTATTGATAGCGTGAAAGGCAATTAAATACAAAACAGTTATGGAGGGAGGATGGAGGGAGGATGTCCCTTCATCCAATCAGATTATTACAGCCAATACCAAATCAACCAATCAGAACAGTTATGGAGGGAGGATATCCCTCCATCCAATCAGACATTAGATGTTGCCATGGTTTAATTGCACATAACATGTAAACATTCACAGTGCAGGGAGGAAAAAGTATGTGAACCTTTGGACTTAATAACTGGTTGACCCTCCTCTGGCAGCAATAACCTCAACCAAACATTTCCTGTAGTTGCAGATCAGACCTGCACAACGATCTGGAATAATTTTGGACCACTCCTCTTCACAAAACTGTTTCAGTGTAGCAATATTCTTGGGATGTCTGTTGTGAATCGCTCTCTTAAGGTCATGCCACAGCATTTCAATCGGGTTGAGGTCAGGACTCTGACTGGGCCACTGCAGAAGCTTCAGTTGGCGGACAGATGGTCGTACGTTTTCCTGCAAAATGTCTTGATAAACTCTGGAATTCATTTTCCCATCAATGACAACAATCCGTCCAGGCCCTGAGGCAGCAAAGCAGCCCCAAACCATGATGCTCCCTCCGCCATGTTTTACAGTGGGGATGAGGTTTTGATGTTGGTGTGCTGTGCCTTTTTTTCTCCACACATAGTGTTGTGTGTTCTTCCCAAACAACTCAATCTTGGTTTCATCTGTCCACAGCATATTTTGCCAGTAGTGCTCTGGAACATCCAGGTGCTCTTTTGCAAACTTCAAACGTGCTGCAATATTCTTTTTGGACAGCAATGGCTTCCTCCATGGTGTCCTCCCATGTACTCCATTATTGTTTAATGTTTTCCTTATTGTAGATGTGTCAACAAAAATGTTAGCATGTGCCAGAGATTTCTGTAGGTCTTTAGCTGACACTCTGGGATTCTACTTTACCTCATGCAGCATTCTGCGCTGTGCTCTTGCAGTCATTTTTACAGGACGACCACGCCTAGAGAGAGTAGCAACAGTGCTAAACTTTCTCCATTTGTAGACGGTCTGTCTTACCGTGGAAACATGAACATCAAGACTTTAGGAGATACTTTTGTAACCCTTTCCAGCTTCATGCAAGTCAACAATTCTTGATCGTAGGTCTTCTGAGAGCTCTTTTCTGCGAGGCATGGTTCACATCAGACAGTGCTTCTTGAAACCAGTAAACCCAAAACAGGTGTGTGTTTTTTAAGGGCAGGACAGCTGTCAGCAATACATCCAATATCATCACACTGATTGGAGTCAAGGTTGGCTCACTCCTGGCTCCAATTAGCTCTGGGAGAAGTCATTAAGCTAGGGCCTCACATACGTTTTCCTTCCTGCTCTGTGAATGTTTACATGTTATGTGCAATTAAACCATGGCAACATCTAATGTTTGTGTAGTATTATGTTCAGCAGACTGTGTTCTTCTATTGTTGTGACTTAGATGACGTTCAGAGCACATTTTATGCCCAATTCATGCAAAACTCCACGTAATCCCAAGGGGTTCACATACTTTTTCTTGCAACTTTATATAAAAATGTTATGGTCTGCAAAAAATCCAAAGTTCGCTTATCTGTAAATAGTGTGATTCTAACAAATTTCAGGCAGGTTGACATGACATATTAGAATTAGAATAAACAGTAGGCGAGTAAACATGCAGTATTGATTTTTGATCAAAGTTCTCTATCTGTGGAGGAGAATAAAATTTTAGTATTTTTAAGATTTATTTAAGTAGATTTTAGACAGGCATAAAAGATTAACCCTTTCTCCCACAAAGGTTTTAATGAATTTTTCCTATTCCTTCCACTGACACCAATGATATGGCACTATTCCTTCCACTGACACCAATGATAGGGCACTATTCCTCCCACTGACACCAATGATGTGGCACTATTCTTCCCACTGATACCAATGATGGGGCGCTATTCCTCCCATTGACACCAACGGTGGGATGCTATTCCTCCCCCTAATAGTAAACATGCATGGTTTACTCCCACTGATACCAGGACAATTTCTGATCCCAAAGACCACAGTCCGGCCCCCAAACACCTGAAGGACAGTAAACTGGCCCTTTGATCTAAATTTGGGGTCTCCAAACTTTCTAAACAAAGCATATTCATATGTTAGAATGGCCCAGTCACAGTCTAGACTGAAATCCAATGGAGAATCTGTGGCCAGACCTGAAAATTGCTGTTCACAGATGCTCTCCATCCAATAACAGAGGTTGAGTGATTCTGCAAAGAAGAATGGGGAGAAATATCCCTCTGTAGATGTGCAAAGCTGGGAGAGACGTCCCCAAAAAGACTTGCAGATGGAATTGCAGCCAAAAGGGGTCCTACAAAATATTGACTCCAGGGGGCCGAATACAAATGCTGCCACACTTTTCACAGATTTATTGGTCACAAATGTTGGAACCATTTCTCATTTTCCTTCCACTTTACAATGATGTGCCACTTTGTGTTGGTCTATCACATCCAATCCCAATAAATACATTGTAACATGACAACATGGGGGACATTTCAGGGGGGGAAACATTGTAACATGACAACATGGGGGACATTTCAGGGGGGATACATTGTAACATGACAACATGGGGGACATTTCAGTCATGAGGAAGACTTTTTCAAGCCACTGTATATATCACTGATATCTGTACACTGAGTGCTATTCCTTATATATAACTCTGATATCTGTACATAGCATGCTATTCCCTATACAGTATATAACACTGATATCTGTACACTGGGTTCCACTCAGTGTACAGATATCACTATTTTATATAGGGAATATAGAATAGAAGACTACTATTAACCCCTTGCCTACCGGACACTTATACCCCCTTCCTGCCCAGGCCAATTTTCAGCTTTCAGTGCTGTCACACTTTTAATGACAATTGCGCAGTCATGCAACACTGTCCCTGTATGAAATTTTTATCATTTTTTTTAGACAGATAGAGCTTTTTTTGGTGGTATTTAATCACCTCTGGGTTTTTATTTTTTGCTAAACTAACAAAAAAAAACAGAAAATTTTGAAAAAAAAAGTTTTTTCTTAGTTTCTGTTATAAAATTTTGTAAATAACTAATTTTTCTCCTTCACTGATGTGCGCTAATGGGGCTGCAGTGATCAGCACTGATAAGGCGGCACTGATGGGCACTGATGAGGACGCACTGGTAGGTGGCACTGATGGGCATTGACAGACATCACTGATGGGCACTGAAAGGCAGCACTGATGGGCACTGAAAGGCAGCACTCATATATGGCACTGATAGGCAGCACTGACTGGCACTGTTAGGTGGCACTGATGGGCACTGATAAGCGGCACTGATTGGCAGCACTCATAGGCGGCACTGACTAGCACTGATAGGCAGCTCAGATGGGCACTGATATGTGGCATTTATGTGCACTGGTAGGCACTGATATGTGGCATTGATTGGCACTGATATGTGGCATTGATTAGCAATGATATGTGGCATTGATGTGCATTGATTGGCACTGACAGGAGGCATTGACGGACACTGACAGGTGACATTAATGGACACTGACAGGTGGCACTGATGGGGCTACACTGATCATCAGGGCACTGATCAGTGCCTTGATGATCAGTGTAGATGTCCCCTCTGATTACCTGGCTCTCCTCTCCTCATGATCTGTCAGTGTGACAGCTGGTGAGGAGAGGAATGCCGATAACCGGTATTTCCTTATTTACATGTGATCAGCTGTGATTGGACACAGCTGATCACATAACCGAGCTGACGTCTTCGGCTCTTTCCGCTGATAGGTGATCCACTCTGTCCCAGGGACACATTGCACCACCGATCGTTGGAGTGGGAGGACGTCATATGATGTCCTCCCAGAACAAGAGAACCGCTGCCCACCTGTCATTTCCTTATATGGCGGGAGGGGGGCAGTTAAGCTGCAGTGTTGTCAGTGTCACCGGGGTCGGGGGATTACACACTGACCTGCTGCAGGATACAGGGCAGGTCAGCACAAACTGTGAGCTACCAAAAAAAGCTCATTACACAAGACTGCAAAGAGTATTTCATTAGCTGCCTTGGTTAATTGTGTCTACCAGCATCTGCAGATGAAGGTTTGGTCTGTAGTAAAGGAAAAGAAGAGCTGTTTCTAATACAAAATAACCTGCTAACAGCTTGAACTCTTCAACCTAAAACAGGATCATTTGGAAACTCGGGCACTGCCCAAGGGTCCGGGGTCAGTAGGGGGCCCCATGAGATGCCCCTGGTACCTTTTACATAGGCTTTTTTGAGTTTGGGCAAGGACACAGGGGCCCCATGATCCCTTATTGCCCGGGGGCCCCATGAGTTGTCAGTTCGCCCCTGACCTAAAATGAGACGTCGGTTCTGGTTGCTGTGGGAAACAACTCAATTTTTGCTGCTCTCATTTTCTTCTCCAGGCCCTTGGTAAGCTCTATGAATATATGCAGATAAGGAATAATCTGGTAAAGGTTTGAAATAAATCTTTCTGTGGGAAAATGCATCTTGTCCCTCTGAAACGTGTAAAAGAAATAACCTGGTATTAAAATACACTTCATTGTTTGCGAAGTCTGCAAATGAGAATGCATCTGGTGGAAAATGGTGACATTTCTTCTATGTGCCCCCCGCAATCATCTTTTGTTGTTAAGACACACCGTATTGAAAAAAGTGAATTGCACTGGGACAAAAATGACAATGGCTTAAAGGCTTTTGAATCATACAACCTAAATTATTAAAAGTACAATAAAAGCTTAGCACAAAATTCATTCCTGTATCACACTAACATTTATGGTAAAAAGAATGAAAAGCTAATTTTATCCAGGAAAAACTGTATCTAGATTGCTCAAATTTCTTGTAGGACTGCAGTCTCCTGGAAAATGGTTCTATATCACTAAACATTATGCCTGAATGTGCTGCACAGGCTTAGAAAAAGGCCAGTGGTGGAACCAATTAACACATTGGTGTGCAATTTCAAAAGCTCAAATATAGTGCTAAATATTAAGATTATTGTGTGACTCGAGTGATAGAAGACAAGGGAGAGGACATGTGAAAACCAACTGGAAAAAGTTATACGATATATAAAAAAATAAAAAAAAGTAAGTGGTGCGATGGGGACTGGAAATGGGTGGGATAGAAATTGGCATACAAAATCCACCTGGAGTTGGACTTTTAACGGCAAGCTCCACTTGAGCATAGAATAAAAAATGTTCCCAACAGAAGTAAAAAAAAAAAAGCACCTCTGTCTGCTATCCTAACCTTCTCTCCTGCAGACTCACTAGTTCAGGGAACAAAGGTTACTCCTATTCCAGATTGTCCAGTATTATTCAAACCACTTCTTGTGAGCCCAGGGTATCAAGGTCCCATCCCACCATAAACTTACAGGAGAATGCTGGAGGAAGAGGAAAATGAAGAGGACATCCAGACACCAGATTGTTAAAAAACAATAGTGTGAAAAAATGCTGTAGATTAACAATGCTTCCAGAGATAGAAGTCTTTATAGTTTATTTTAGCAATTAACAAAATAGAAAGTAAATGATCAGAAAAGAAATTCAAATCAAATCAATATTTGGTGTGACCACCTTTTTGTCTTCAAAACAGTATCAGTTCTTCTAGGTACATATGCACACAGTTTTTGAAGGAACTCGGCAGGTAGGTTGTTCCAAACATCTTGGAGCACTAACCACAGATCTTCTGTGGATGTAGGCTGTCTCAAATCCTTCTGTCTCTTTATGTTATCCTTTTTCTTGTTTACACTGAAGATAGTTCTTAAAGTGGTTCTAAAGGCTCAAGGTTTTTTACCTTCATGCATGTAACAGAAACAGTAATGGGAACCCACTTGCTCCTGTTGCTGTCAATCACACCCAGTGCGGGAGAGCATGGGGCTGGGCTGAGCCGCGGCTCCATGTGTCTAATGGACGCACAGGGCAGCAGCTCAGGGATGAGCACGCTGTGGTGCCCCCAGAGGCTTTCCCTGGGGGCACTGCTCAAGAAGGAGGAGCCAGGAGCGCTAGAGAGGACCCGAAAAAAGGAGGATTCGGCTGCTCTATGCAAAATCACTGCACATAGCAGTAAGTATAGACATGTTTGTTATTTTAGGGAAAAAAAAGTCTTTAGTGTCACTTTATTGACATTGGCTGTATATTGGGGCTGTTGTCCTGGTGCAGAATAACTTTGGGGCCAATCACATGCCTCCCCGATGGGATGACATGATGTATAAGTATCTGCCTGAATCTCTCAGCCCTGAGGACACATTGATCCTGACCAAATCTCCAACTCAGTTTGCAGAAATGCAGCCTCAAACTTGCAAAGAACCTCCTCCATGCTTCACTGTTGCCTGCTCAGTCCTTCAGTGAGCAAACTGCCTCCTCCTAAAGCTACTTATTAAAAATTTTGACAAATCAGTCCAGAGCACCTTTTCTGCACCCCAGTTTCTATGTTTTTGTACATAGTTGAGTCGCTTAGTCTTGTTTCTATGTATGGTCTTTTGGCCACAATTCATCCATGAAGATCACTTCCCGCCACACTTCTTTGCACAGTAGATGAGTGTACCTGGATCACAATGGTATCCACAAGTTCTGTGCTGATGGCACTGCTGGACATCTTCCAATGTCAAAGGGAAGCATGATGTGTCTTGAACAGCACATCTTGAAACCAAAGTGTGCTGTGAAATCTTTGCCTGAGAGAGCTTGCTGATGCAGTAAACTACCTTTTGTCTTGTTTCTGTGCTCAGTCTTACCATGCTGTATGACCTGTCACATGAACCTGTCTTCCACAACCTCACCTTAGTAGCAGTGTTAAGAGTTTTCTCAACTAATTTTAAGCCTCCTACACAGCTGACTGTCTTTCAACAAGGGCAGATAGACAACTAATGGGGCCCCAGGAAATAGGAGACAATGGGGCCCCCAGGTTTAAAGATGGCCACCATGCGGCAGCCATCTTTTTGATGCAACATTAATGTGGAGGAGGGTAGGAACCGAGCTTGGTGACATGCAGAGGTCTAGTGGTAGGAGACTGTTAAAGACTACAAGCATGCCTACTCAAGCTGTGACTGTCAAAGGCAAGCCTCAGGTGGGTTGTTTCACAAAGCTTTGTGAGGTCTACCCCTGGGGCAAATCATAGACATGAGGCCCCACTCACACTCATAATGAAAAAAAACAATTAAAGCAATAAAAATTACATGTTTTTGTACAGCTTCCACATTTCAGCTTCCACATTTCATTCCTGCACCCCCAGCTTTAGCTTACCCCAATCCACAGCTTTCTTCAACTCTCAACACCCCACCTTTTATACCACTGCACAACACGTCCAACCTCCCAGTAGCTGTTTCTCCATACAACCATCCACCTCCCTCCCCCCCCACAGCTTTAAGTTCAACACAACACCCCAACACCCTCTACCACCAACATTTTCCTTCATAACTCTTACCTATTCACAATTATCATACCTCTTTTCACAACTCTCACCTCTTAACAACTCTCCCACCCCCAGCTGTCATTACTGCACTAAAAGAATTAAAAAATGTGTCAGTTATGTCGTCGGAACCTGGGGCACCTGCCAACATATGCCCTGCCCTGCACATGCCCTGCTGCCCAGCACTAGGCAGAAGAAGCAGTACAGAAACATCAATGACCAACAACCCTAGTACTACCTGGTGGAAGTGTTAACAATTTAGCCACTAAATGTTGCTATATATATACACTCCAAAGCCATGCTGGTAAGTTAATTCAATCCTGTCTAAAATTGTCCCTAGTGTGAGAATGTGAGCAAGGGACCTTAGACTGTACACCCCTTGAGGGATGGGGGTTGATGTTAATGTACCATATATATGTAAAGCACTGCATAAATTGACAGCACTATATAAAATACCTGTGATAAATAAAAAATATATATACTGTATACAGGCATACCTCGGTTTACAAACACCTCAGTTAACATAATTTTCAGTTTATGAATAAAAATAATGGCTCGGTTTATTAATTTTTTTGCAATATGAACGGATTAATTGGTTTTCAGTGCATTTACAAATTTTTTTTTTAATCATGTCTCTATACAGTACTATGCCTTTAAAGTGCAATTTATAAAGAGTTTTGAACAGATAAAACTTTTTTACTTTTTTCTGACCTCCAGAATGGATTAATTAGTTTTCAATGCATTTATGAATTTTTTTTTGCAATACGAAAGGATTAATTGGTTTTCAATGCATTTACAAATTAATTTTTAATCATGTCCCTGTACAGTATTTATGCCTTTAAAGTGCACTTTATAAAGAATTTTGAACAGATAAAAGACTATTTTTTTTATTTTTTTCTGACCTCTGCAATGGATTAATTGGTTTTCAATGTGGGAAACCGCGTTTTGGCTTACGCCTTTTTGCGCAGTATGAATAGTCCTGCGGAACCAATAAAATTTGTAAACCGAGGTACACTTGTATATATATTTAAGGAACAGCATTCTAAATTAGTCATTCAAGTTACAAATTACAAATTGCAAGTTCTGTTTTACTTGTTTATCTTAACACATTGAACCCAAAAACAAAAAGGTTATATGTTGTAGCTTGTCAATCCATAAATGTGGTGGCTACATCAGTTATTTTTTTAAACATTTTTACCTTTATTTTCACCTGTTGATCCAGTCAGTAGCACACTTCCTGTCTTAGGGAATAAGACAGCAGTGTTGTCAATCTGGGAGAGTTTTACATAAATGAATAAGAACTGACCATTGTAGGCACCGTTGTCAG